AATATATTTATAAAAATAAATTATTTTCACATACCTATAGATTTTGTAACCAATAATAAATGACATATCATTATTTTCTTTAACAAGGTCAATTATACCGCATAACGTGTTTTCTTGAACATTTCATACACGTTAAGTATTTTGTATTACATTGAGATTGTTTTGTTTTTTGTCAAGTAAGAGTTCAGTAAAGCACAACTTAAAGAATACCACATGTTTTTTTTCATAAGATCTAGCGTTCTATTAGTCTCTTTGATGATGTTATATAATTAATACTATAAAAGTAATTATATTCTAGAAAAGAAAAAAATATAGTTCGGAGATAAGTTCTCTTTTCATTTCTTCAATTAAAACGGGTTTTGTGCAATAAAAATAAAGATTTCCGCATGTACCTAGAGTAGTAGTGAGTAGATTTTATTTTTCACTGCAGCCATTCACTGTGTATCAGTATTAATTAATGTTTTTTAAAATATAAAATATAACGAGCTATTTTTTTTCTTCGTAAACGACATTTACCTCGTAAAACTGTCAAATCAAATTTAATTACAATATGAACACTATACATTATGCTGGTAATCTATTACAGAATGATCCGTCTAGCAAACGAACGACTTACATTGTGTCTTTCAAAATTAAAACGTTTGTTATAGCAAACATTTTGTTATCTTTAGCGTCGGAATTTTATATTTATTATAAACAAGAATATTTTTATTTATATTTATTTATTATTTTTTTATTTAAACTTTGTGGGTACAATTTATTTATTATTCATACAGTTTTTTCTATAATATTTATTGTAATAAATCCTACTGGTAAATAGACTCGTGATAATCATATACGTGCGAAATAAACTCATGATATGTATTTTAATATTGAATAAGATTATTTAAATCTGTATACGAGTACTAGTGTAATATGAACACTATTTGAATATTATATAAACATTTAAGGTTATACGAATTGCAGAAGAACCGTCAATGTTATATTACTATTTTTATCACTTCACATCTAACGCATAGTGGTGTATTTATCAATAATCTCGCAACGTCCTGTAAAAATATTGTTTTTAGTTCCTTTTATATTTTAGACAGTGGTTTACTATACACGTGGAACTTAAAAAAAACATTCCGATCCGATACGTGATCTACAACATTTTATAATCCCTCAATTTACTTAATTATACTGCAGACTTAATGCAATGTGACCTCATACAAGTTATAACATTGAATACGTGACCATTATGTTTTGACAGACGACGAACGGGACAGCTAATTAACTAGTTAGTTATAGTAAGATATTACACCCACATTATTTAAATCTTCATATTTCATCTGTAACGTCGGTCTGTTTGGCAATAAGGTTTTTATAAAACCGTGGACATGTTCTTTTCTCAGATTAGCAATGCATCAAATGTATATACCTAGGGTTTAATAATGAACAGTTATAACTACATGACATTTGATGTAAATTCAACGGTGGAAAGTGATGCACGAGGCCCGGTCATAGCATATTTCAATGGTTGGAAAAAAAAATGATTACTGAATGTGTGGACTTATACATAATACGTCTAATGAATAATGAATAATGTATACTTTTTACGCTTTTCAGCTGAAAATAGTCACAAACACAAGTTCAAATATTGTGATGGACATAATAATAATAAATTGCATACAACCATATATTTTTATGGAAATGCTGAATATTTTGGGAAAATAATCTTACTATCAGAAGTCATACTTAAAAGATAATTTATACTGTAGTTTGGAATGGACGTTGATCGGGAAACGTTTTGAATGAAACAAATAAAATATTTTGCATTAGAATTTTAAACGATAAAAATAACAAGCGTTATTGAAATAGTAAATAGCATAAAGTAATACCGAAAGATGTATGACTGAAACATTTTTATTTTAAAAATGTTGTTCTATAAAATGATATACTCAATAAAGAATAAATTGTTTAACTTTTAAGCTCGTTGTAATAATAGAACAAAATAAATAATTTTAAATAAGATTTAGATTACGCAAAGTGTATCGAAGATAAAGCGAAAAATTTTATCGTTTTCCTTAACCCCTTATTCTACAGTCAATCATTACTTTACCGTATCTGTTGCGACCCACTCTAGATTTGAATAATATTTAAGAACGCACACAATAGTTGACAGTTGCTGTTTATGACAGAGTTGGTCCGTAATCCGTTCGCTAAGAGTTGTCCAAAACAAACTCTGAACTCTTTCTGCGTAATAACCGACTAAGAAAATCCGCGTGTATTCAGACACGTTTCACCCATACAGTATTTGATTTGTTAGAAACTTTAAACAAAAACTGGGCCCTTGCTTACTGAGCTCCGTGTACTTCAAACTTCATCGAAGGGGAAGTTTGTTATAATCATTTACAAGCTTTTTATTCCGTAAACACTGCGAGATATTGCAAACACGTCTTATGGTTTTAATAATTTCGAAAGTATGCTGGTGTAAATGTTGACATATGAGCTGCATATTCAAACTGTATTACATTTAAAGAGGATTACGATATTATTAAAATGACGCATGTTTACATAATCATGTAAACAAAGTACATCGTTTGAATTTCACTGTACTGCCGTAATATTTATCAACAATAACAAAATAAATTAATTAAAAAAAAAAATTTGCACCGTCGACAATATACCTATCAGTAAATGTACTACGTCGTAGCATAACAAGATACGAAGTATCACGAGTAGGTATTATTTTCCCTCGGGCCTTTATATACGCGGAAACTAATTCAATTACTTTACACTTGCCAAACGTCAGTTAATACATAATTTTTTCGTTCACGTTCCGAAGATGCCTTTACCCCGTGCGCGCGACAAATCCGTGTGCTTCATTACATCGGCCCCGAAAATAACGTTCTAATATTTTACCCTCGGGCACAAACATTGCGTGGTACCAGTCAGTTTTGGAAATGACACCCACGCCCTAATACTGCCACTTCCAGTTAAACTATATTTATAAATATATACACAAACACACACATACACACACACACAGAAGCAATGTAAGAAGAGACCGAAAAATATCAAAATCACCCAGCGTTATTTTTCGCTTCCTCCACCCATCACCGGGAAAAGTGAAGGTTACGGTGACAAGCTTAATACTTCAAAAATGAACAGTATCATATTGTTTGAAGTGGATCACTTTAATCAATTTTATATGACATAAATTATAGAAATAACATGTGCACTGTGCATAGAATACGATTATGCGAAGATGCGTAAGATAAAATATTAATAATATTACATTTTTTAATAGGCAACTATAAAATATTATAAAATGTCAAAATATATAGTTATCAGGTTACACGTTATGTGGAAACTTTTAATTATAATTAGGATTTTTATTAAAAATTACAATTGCTCTTTTGTGCATTGTTTTTGGCTGTTCAGCGAAAAAATAAGTTAATATCAAACACAGTAGTTACTTGATATGCCTGTTAACCTTAACACTCTATCATAATATTATCAATAAAATACTCCATCACTCGCCTCGCATACTTATCACACAACCAGTGCCAACTACTCAGAATTCAACGCAAACAAATTTGCATTCAATGTTTCCCGCGACAACTGTTTAAGTTTCAAAACATCATATTATTTGACCGATTCACTTCAGCATAAACTTAGTACATTATAATAATATTATCGACGTCGATTAGGTCCCCGTACTTTACAATCGATACACTAACGATACTAGTTGGATTAATTTTTAGAAGTATCGACGCCAGATAAACTCCCTTCTCCCCGCGCATAAAAAAATCATCCCCGTTTATGGGAATTATTTGAGACCCTATAACAATATATACATATACATGTATGAACCAAATCGGTTTGCGCGCACATATTCAGGGGTATTTGCGGGGTAAATGTAAAAATAACATTTCTACCACCGAAATCTAATTACATTAAAATCGTTCGCGCACAGAGATTTACATTTTTTGGTATTCTTATCTTAATCCGGCGCGGTGGGACCCGACCGAACAAAACCGAACTGATGCACAGGCTAGGGCAAACGACGAGGGTGCTGTCGTATCTCTCGGCACTGATGCAGTCGATGTGATACTTACGGATTCGGAGAGGTGACGTTAAACCGGAAAGTAAAAACAGAAAAACAGTTTGAATATTAAAATAAAAAAATAAAATATCAGGAAACGCAAAGCCCACGGGTGACGAGTAAACGGCGGACGCTTATAACATTATCGAAGTAGTGCGCATTGTGCGTAGAAAGTTTTTTCTCGCTTGTTTTCCGTCCCCATTCGTTGTACTTAATTCAATCCTTAGCGTGCAGGACGCATGTACGATTTCCATGTATAAAACGTATTATAACGCCTAGTTGATAAAACGTCGAAAAGTGCATAAATATTTAACAATTCGATTCCTGTTCCAAAATCATAGTCGTATATACAGTTGTTATTTATATTTGAATATTTCAGGAAAAGATTGCGTACTTACCTAACTACGATACACCTATAACACAACTGTTCGGCCGAATGTTCCGATCTACAAAAATAAGGCTGCCAAGTTTTTTTGACAGTCTACTGAATAAATACTTCAACCTATCCTGAGACTCTTCCATCAATACTATATCATTAGCATAAGCAAGTAGACCTATCGACGTATCTTGTAGTCTAATACCCTTGTTAGGACCAATTTTCATTTCTCTAATGACCTTTTCCAAAACTACGTTGAACAGAATCGGCGATAGCGAATTACCTTGTCTTAGCCCCGAGTTCACTTTTGTCGGGTCAGTTACTAAATTTCCTACCTGAACCCTTATCAAGGTCTCCATGACGCTGATAGATACCAAATTGACCAGTTTTTGTGGAAAATGAAATTTTTTTCATAATATTCAATAGATTCTCTCTAAGAATACTATCATACGCTTTCTTAAAGTCCACGAAGAGTGTTTAAATCTCTTTATCAAACTTCCAAGATTTTTGATACAATTGCCTAATTATGAATATCTAGTCCGTCGTGGATCTGTCAGCTCTAAATCCTCCTTGATTGTGTTCTATTATTTGATCCGCTTTTCCTTTTATCCTGTCTAAAACACAATTCGAGAATATTTTATACATTACATTAAGCAAGGATATTCCGCGGTAGTTGTTACAATCTTGTTTGTCTCCTTTTTTGTGAATTGGGCATACTTCCGCCACTTTCCAATCATCTGGAAGTTTCTCTGTTATCTATACTTTACTAATCAATTGCCAGATCCACCGTATAACATCTTCTCCTCCCTTTTTTAAGAGTTCCGCTTGAATACAATCTTCCCCTGGGGATTTGTGATTTTTTAATCTATGCACTTGTGCTTTTATTTCCTCTAATATAGGGTACGGACATTCTTGTGTACTTATGTTCTCAATATTAAAGGGGAACTTTCGGTTGATTCCTCATAGTTTAATAGTCCGTCAAAATACTTTCTCCATTTCTAAGCTATTTCTTTTTTCTGTAGTTATTAACATTCCATCATCAACTTTGAGAAAACGTTCTTTCTTTTTAAAATCTCCTTTTATACCATTTACTCTCTTATACATATCCCGGGTTCTATTTAGTCTAAAGTCTTTTTCAGCATCTTTCATAATGTTTTGGATATATTTTCTTTTTTCGCATCTTATTATATTGTGAGCTTCTTTCCTTCGTCTACTGAAATCTGTAATCCTCTCTTTATTGTTAATGTCCTTCAGCCATTCCTCCCGGGCTGTCTTTCTTCTCTGTACTGCGTCTTCACATATTTGGTTAAACCAGGGTTTTTTCCTCTTTTCCTTTATTCCTATTGTTATTTTTGCAGTCTGTTGTACAGTGTTTCTAATTTTGATCCACACATCATTCACATCGTCAGTGTTTGTTACTTGCTGTACTTTGAGAGTTTCGCAGATTTTTCTGCCATAATCTTTCTGTATATTAATTTCCTCTAATTTCTCAATATCGTATCTATTTATAGTATTTAATTTGTGTCTGTATCGTTTCTTGAATTCAACTCTTATCCAAATACCTACTAGAAAATGGTCGGAGTCTGCGTCGGCTCCACTTAATGTCCTTACATAAGTTATACTCTTTTTGAATCTGTTTTTAATCAGTACATGATCAATCTGTTTCTTTTGCCTCCCATCCGGAGACACCCAAGTATATTTATATATATCTTTGCGTGGGAGCATAGTACTCTTGATTATTAAACCTTTTCCTGATGCAAAATTTGCTAGTCTAGAGTCATTATCATTTGAATGCTCATGAAGGTTATGCGTTTCTGCCACGTTATGGTATATCCTTTCTTTTCCTATTTTAGCATTTAGATCACCCAGTACAATTTTAATATTTCCCACCGTAGTATCAAATACCTCCTCTAATGTATCATAGAACTCTTTTTTTATTTCCTCATCTTTATCCTCCGTCGGCGCATGTACATTAATTAACACAATGTGAAGATTTTTGTTCTTCAGAGTTAATGTTGAGATTCTCGGATTTACATCTTTGAACTCTTTAATCATATGTATGATCGACTCATGTATGGCGAAACCAGTCCCTAGTAGGTAACTTCGTTCACTCTTTCCATTTATGATTGTTGTTTGTGATATCTTTGTTGTACCCGCGTCCTCTAATCTTACCTCTTATAATGCTATGTATTTCATTCTATATCTCTCTATCGCTCCTACTAATTCCACAGTTGCTCCAGGTTTGTATAGTGTTCGTATATTCCATGTAACACCTTTTAATTCCGATATCCAATTTCCAGTCTTTTTTCTCAATCTAGTCCGATATTTGTTGTTGTTCGAATCCTGACAGAAGTTTTTTTACAAGGTCGGGATGTTAACCCGATGCTCAACCCCCAACCTGAAAGGCCAGACCACTGCGATCACTTAAGATCAAGGTGGGGCTATTGCAGCACCCAATAAAGGGCACTGGGCGATAGGGACGCCACTTTCCCAACGCCGTAAGTTCAAAATAGTAACTAAAAATAAATATTCTAAAAAGTACCTTTTGGTGACTGTATAAAAATAAATATGTGAACGGTATGACATTGTTGGTTACCAACACTTTTATCTTAATTATTATGATATTAACAATCACAAAGCCAAGATTCCATATCGGTATCAATAATAAAAAGGGTATAGAATATGACATTAAAAATGATCGAGTTTTATCCGTATTAAAAAAATGTGTAAAAAATCGATGTTAAAAGTTTATAATGAAAAAAAAATATTAACTTAACTCAGTTTAAAAAAAGTCAATCTACTCTTTTTAATTAATCACATAAAACGTAACTGCGTTCTTGAGAAAGATTTAATTTCCTAAATAATAATAAACATTTTTATTGAATTTGTTATCATAATATACAGCAGTGGCGCCAAAGTATTTGAAAAATACTATGATATTGTACACCACTCACTACCGTATTTATTTATTTTTATAGTTAAAATTCTTTATCCATTACATTCAGTATCCACGGCCACAACCCAATACCCAATGGTAGGTTTCCAATCTATTATGACATTTGATGTACAGTGCATGCGACCATTTTACTTTACATGATTATTTAATTTTTATAATAATATTTACGTATAAACGAAAAATTTCAAAATGTCTTAACTTGATAGATCATTTTTAAATCAACTGTGAAAAGCTAAGTTAAACTGCCAATTAAACTAGTCAAGTTATAAAAAAAAAAAAAAATAACGGAAAATAAACTATCTAGTTGCCCACCTTTATGTATGTATTGTACTATTATGCGTGCCTGATGGTCGCGTTGAACCGTTTTCACGCTGACGATGTCCGCTAGATGGCGCAGCAGCCTTCCCAACGATGGCCGGCAACCGGGTTCGGTTAGTCGTTGAAACCGAATGTCCGTCGTTACGATCGGCTGATACGGTGTACCGATCCGTGGTCTTCCGGTCGTGGTTTCGCGCCGATCGCTTAGCAAAATATGTCGTAACGGCACTGCGGGACCGAAAGCACGCGTGAAAACGATTTTTGACGCGTGTCTCAACAGCGAATTGAGACCAGGGCTAGCTGGGTCGAGCTACATTGAGAGGCTATATTTTGCGGCTGAAACTCGATTGTAAATGTGTGCTTCGTCACAAAAAAACACGAAACGATAATTGATGAAAACGTTAACATTTCTCTTATTTTACGAAGGATTCCGTCTCCATCATCAACGTCAAACAAAAAATTAAAATTGACTATCGTCATTTTTTACAACTTTGATATCTTAGAGTCCTCAAAATTCCTCAAGTGATGGCGGGAGATACAGACTAGCTCGTTCAAAACGGAGCGTATGTGTTCACCTTAAGCAAACTAATTATGTAATAATATTGAGAACGGTTGCGGCGAGAAAATATATATATATATATATATTATAGTGCTCAATGTGCGATAATTCTCGTCGCACGTTATTGGCGGCGACCTACGTTGTATGTGTTATCGTTGATATTTACGTTTAATAAAGAAATTCCGACCGAAAGCAATTACTCCGAAGTACTAGTTATTAAATACATTTCATCATAATTTTATTATTATTAAAAATCAATATTTTGATGAATATACCTTGCAAATGATTTTATTGTTTTATGAGTAATATACCGTTGGTCGGTGTCTCAGTGGCGTCGAAGTAAGATTTGGTATTCATCCGAAATAGGTAGGGTTGCGGGACTACTTCCCCTTCAAGAAAAACGTTTATCGCACTATCATATCAAACTAACCACGAGCCGCCGCCGACAGTGTACGCGCACGCCTCGCGCCGTAAATCAGTCCTGTTTCTTTTACGCTCCATTGTTCGCCGTCTGTTTGCTTTCTGATTTTATCGTCTAATTATTATCATTAATTATTATCGTCGCCATCGCCGGGGTACAATAACAAATAATATTTATCATATCGCTATTATCGTTGTTATTTTTTTCAAGATAATATCGTGCGGACGCGCGTGCACACGTACAATACACGCGCGACGTCGATCCACTACACCCCGTTATAATACGATAATGCACTCGTCCGAGCACTGGTGACGGTGGACGCGACGCCGACGGCCGCGGTCATAATCGCACCGTTGTGAAGCTGGCCACACACTACGGTTTTATTTGTACATGTACGGTGTACGGTGTAGTTCGCGCATTTTTAGTTCGTACACCGATGAACGACACACACTATCCATTTTGTATCTTTGTGCGGTGTTCGAACAACACTAACCTTCGGTTTTGTTCATTTCAAACGCCGAACGCGGACAAAAAATCAAACTCCTCAGTTTTTATTCCGTGTCCGTGTTACGGTGTTTTTCGTCCGTTTTATTGCCCGCACACTATCGGTGTACGTTGTTCGAACTACACCGTACACCGTACACGGACAAATAAAACCGTAGTGTGTGGCCAGCTTAACGGCATGCGCACTGCGAATCGAAACCAAACGGTTTCACGTGTCATCGGAAGACGGGCATCGCAGTAATGATAACAATTCGTGTCGAAGAGGGCCGCGTTGACGGGGCACGGCCGACGACGGTGTACCCACAACGAATAAGAAAAATCTCGTGTATTCGGGAGGAAACGGTGCGGCCACCGCGATATTACCACCTATTTACTATCGCCACGTATCTATTATTGTTGTTGAAGTACAATTTGATCGTTTACACCAGTGTTTCCCGAAAACGGGCGATATCGCCCCCTTAGCGGCGCTAGAGCTATCCAGGGGGGGGGGGGCAATGGAAGTTACAAGCTTAATTGAGGGGCATTTCATTACAAAAAGGGGGCGATATTCTTAAAATGGACATACCCAAATGGGTTTTAGATCCATTTTCAAATACAAAATCCATAGATTCTGCAAAATTAGACGAAGAATTGATAGAAGTAACTACAAATGAGGAATTAAAATTAAAGTACAATGAATGTTACCAAGTATTCTGGCTATAAAAGTAGATACCTATACTTTATCCTGGATTGTGGGCTGTTGTACAAACATTTTTGATCGCATAAATATCATCCTACTTGGTTGAACGTGGATTTAGTGCAGTAACCAATCTACTCACTAAAAAAAGACAACGGTTACAAATAACTAATCCTGGGGACTTAAAAATGTTGCTTACGAAAATCGAACCTAATATCAATAAACTTCTAGCAAAATATCAACCATATCCATCTCATTAAGATATTTTTTTTCATTTGTACCTATACATTATATATATATATAGATGTATAAACAATAAATTTTATTTTTCATTGCATACTTTTGTAACAATATTTTTTTAAGGGGTTGTCTGTCAAACTTTTTTTTTTTTTTTTAAGTGGACGGTAAAGATAAAAAGTTTGGGAAACACTGGTTTAGACGGTTGGACTGTTGTCCTAGTCCGAATAAAATGTCTATTATCATTACGGGGTGCCACTGTAACTGCTGAAACTCGGGAATGCCAAAATCATTTTTAAAGACATTCCCATGTCATGAATTTCCGTACTAACATTTACAGACCGTTTACAGCACGATTTATTATATACATCTACCACCCCGTCACGAATTTCAGCACGCAGACGAAGTTATTTTACTACATCCACCGCCCCCCTCGGCTTCAAGGCCGCATAATATCTTGTACTACTACACTAAAAAACATTATATTGAGCAACGCATATATGCGTCTCTCTCTCTCTCTCTCTCTGTATATATATTTAGTCTCATTTATCAAATCATCTAGTTGCGGGTTTCACAGATTCCTTTTTGACGAAAACTCTCGTCGATGTCATTAAAACTTTCATGTTTCCTTTATGCGTCATGAGACCGTGAAAAATCACAATGTTTTGTAAGATTCAATGTTGTACTGTGTTAATTCCGAAGAGGGTCTTTATTATGTTAATATTTTCGTGTTGAGACCTTTAAGAATGGTCTCAGATTTTCTCAAGCACCGAATGAATTAAAATAATAATCGAGTGCAGATAAGGAAAACAAGATGGGTAAGAGTTTACGTGAATCAAACTTTTTTTTCAAATTAAAGTAATTCTGAAACGGACTTGCCTACATATCTTATGCGAGTATATGTAAATTATGTTCTACGTAATATTAACGAAATTTTCTAGTAAATAACGATAGTTCCCAGGCAAATCAGAAATTATCGTGATTTATTATTTTTGTGGGTTGATTATTGTTCATTTCTACACACGTTGGAAAATGTAGTTTTCTTAATGGTGTTGGATTATATTTTATACAACTGTAATCGGTGAGTTTCTATGTGGCGTACTATACAGTTTGTTGCTCCTATTTTAGATAATATTTCTGTTAGTGTTTCATAGTACGTCGGTACTCATCGGCATCGTTGAATCGTAATTGTGTCGTTTTTTGTCCCAGTATTATAGAAAATATAATAACATCGAATATTTTGTGTCTGTTTTTTTTTTAAATTATTTTATTAATACAATATGAATGAATTTGAAATGGAAAAGAAATGTAACAATATTAAATTCGATATAATCAATAAAAAAAAAAAACATATCCTATTAATTAAGTACTGAAAATTGTATTC